TTGAAATGAGTTCTGATATGTTTCCTATTTTGTATATCACATTTATTTATGGTTATATAATAGCACCAGATGAAAATGCTAAGACCAAATGAAAGAAGTACAGGAGAGATTTCAAACAGACTGGGTTAATTACATGCTGTAAAAATTCTAGCTTTCCAAGAAAAAGCAATTTCCAACTTCCAAAACCTTGCTATTATTTTCATAAAACAAAAAAAAATCCAAGTAAAATAAAAAATCTTAAAGTTTCAGTGTACTGCTTTTGAATAATGTTATCTACAATTATAAGACAGACAGTCCATTAAATAGAAAAAAGATTTGTTTTACATAAAGCAAGAGAGTACAAAAGCACAGCTTTTGTAATTTTGGTAATATTGCAGTTTTACAAACATATTGCATAGTATGTGTAAGAAAATAGTTCCCATCTTTTTTTATATATTTATATACACAGGAAAATCATTAACATGAAGGTTACAAAACAGAAATAGTTAGCAGACCTTTACTGAGTACTGACTGAAACAATATGACACTCAAACGTCAATCCAACCTACATATGTATTACAGTGAATCAGCTGGTAACAATTCCATAGCCTAAGGTGGGTTTTTTTGGTGTTTTTTTTATTTAGACAATGATTTAGAATCTAAAAAAAAAAAAAAACCATTAAAAAATACATGATGTTAGCAACTGAACATCTTAAACAACCTTCATTAAATGTTTCTAGACATTTATGGCTGTATCTTCAACCCAGACTGAATAGCCCTCTGCATCTAAAATGATTTAAAGTGAATTCCATTATCCAGTCAAGCCACTGTTTTGCAAACAAAATGGTATAACTTCAGTCAAAACAAGCAATGTCTGGGCATGTTTTGGGATAAATAGTCTTTTGTTTTCTTAGGAACACCAAAAGATCCTTGTATGCATGAACAGTAATTTAATCGCACCACACAGACGAAAAATTGAAACCCTGGAAAAAAGTGAACGATCTACAGCTCAAAATGCTGCACAAATCTAAACTATGTTACAATTTCATGTTGTAATTACAACTTGTCATCTCTTCATTCCAACAGAATTAGTAGAAGTAGCAGTGTCATAGTGTTAGATATAATAGAAGTGTCAGTCTTTGGTCTTATCACTTGACCAACGAATGAACTGCAATACAAAGCCATACAGCTAACAGTGCTCAGAGAGGTTGGCTGATGCTTTTATTTTTCTTTTTTTAAACAAGAAAGAGACAGTATCCTATAACATCATAGCACAGATATTTTTACAGAAGATAAATCTGTCATATATTAAATACATGTAGCTAATAAGGTCTTTTCATATGTTTTTTTATGTTGTCATAAGGATAGCCCTGAATAAGTCAAACAGCTCAATTCCATCTTAGTGGTTTCCATACAAACATTCTAGTACAAAAAGAAGCTTTATGTGATACATGTATTCATATACTATAAAAAAACTCAGAGAAATATTTTTGCAACTGATTTTTTTTTAATTGCGCTAATATTAATGCCTAAAAATATCCTAAGGTCTTCAATCTGTCCCTAAAATTGTCACAACAGAGTGATTTGTTAATGGGAAACTCTTGCCTTAAGCAGAATAAGAAGTGACATTTCTTTTCTAAAATCCACTATCAAAATTTTCAGTCAGATAAGCACTCTACCTAGAGAAACATTAACTGGGGCTTAATCATAACCTGAATGCTAGATTTTGTAAATGGCCAACAAAAACTGAAATAATTTGGAGACAGGGCCAGGAATCTACAAGGAAGATGACAAAAAGAATCTGAAAATTTCCTATGGCTTTGCATACAATGACCTCAGCATTCTAAAACCAGCACTGAAATAGCACAGCTATGGCTCTGTTTTAATATGGTATTTGTTCTGAGATCTTCTAGTTCCCTTCCATCTGAAACGACATTGTGGGATTATGCCATTTTTCTGACATTTTTGGGGCGCACTATAAGCAGAAGAGCTCTAGTATTGAGGTCTTCACTGCTGCCAGTTTCAAACATTCAAAATCACTGCCTGTGTCTCCTTTCACTCAGGAATGGTAATGCTGCTTACAGGTGACCAGTATTCTGATTTTTTTAGTTCACTAAATGCGTTGAAATCACCTTTCCAATACTCTCTGAAATCATGTGGGCTAGAAATAGTCTTTAAAATGAAAACTGAGATTTCCTCCTTCTTACAGTTTTCAATGATTTTAAAGTAAAACTTAGATATTATGAAACTCACCAGAATATTAAGACATTATGAGAACTCATTATGCTATCTCATAGGTTGCTGAAACTCTCAAATACTCTCTACTTCAGACTGAAGGGACTCCAAGCAAGAAAATCCTGACAGGGCAGAGCTATGTGGACGTACAGTCTTGGTTTTGTCAACTCCAATGTGCCATCTGCACACACACTCTGCCCTGAGTTTTCTTAATACAAAGTGGTAAATTATCCCAGCCTTGCTGTTTAAATTAATCTAGCAACAAAAGATATATATTTTTTTTCCTACCTGCTCACTCCCACTCAAATCCATGTAAAATTTATAAAGATTGGGTCTTTCTATTCACTGTGCAGAAACCTTTTTTGTATGTATCACAGGTAAGCAATCACATAAGGTGAAGAGCAAACAAGTAAGAATTTCTCAATGGAAAATTCATGACAAAGTATCTGCAAGCCATCCTGTGGGTTTATTCCAGGAAAAAAAAAAAGAAATCTTAGTCTATTTGTGTGCGATTTGTAAGAAGCCAAAATTTAATTCACCAAATAGATTAGTAACTATAACCTGTTTGTTCATCTTTTAAGTAACCAGTGTATGTAGGTGTGCACAGATAATGAATACATATAGATGTTTCCTTGCACAGATCTATATACTTTTCTTCCTGAAATACTATTTATCCACATGACTTTCACACTACCATTCTATAACTTGTGTGCATAAGACATATATTTCCCTAAAGTTTTAAGTGTTTGTTGTATGGCTACACTTTCTAATGTTTTATTATCACCTTCTTTGTACTTCTGTTTCTTTCTGTCCCTCTTTCTAAAACTCCTCAGGGTTCTAATATATTTTCTGAGTGCTATCTTCTAATATGTTTTTCTTTCCAAGTAAAAGAATAAAATTCTCAAAGAAATAACAATAAGTAATATTATCTTCCTTTGAAGAGATAATAAATTTTAAATCTTCCTTTAACTGGTAGAAACAGCAAATATAGCATTCTTGCTATGGGGTGAAATTCACACCTCTGAGGAGTGCCAATGGAAAGGCAAGCACCAGTCAAGCCGTGGACACGTCTTGTGCTGGTCTTCTGCATAGGAGTGAATTTCACCTGAAGTGAAAACAAAATCAACCTTATTAAGTGGTAATAAAATGGAAAGGTAATCACAGTATTAGTTTGCTCACTTTCATTTTTTTCCTCTAAGAAAAAAAAAATCTTTGAGTTGAAATACCCACCTTGCACTGTCTGCGCTGACTTTAGAGTTACTTTGCAAAAGCCGTCATTGCATTGCTGATCTTACATTCAGAAGCCTCTAAAACTACGTGCTAGGTGATGTAACTTAAAGGATAGAATTAAAAAGCACACTTACCTCATGTAACCAAGCCATCTTCCACAATAGGAAACATTTTTATACTGTTTTACATTCCTGGGTTCTGCAAGTTTCAAGATATGCTTGTTAATCAATGTTGCGATAAATTTACTGGCAGCATACCAAAGCATTTTTTATAAGATTTCAATTACCAACCAAGCCAAACAAGTATGAACATTGATACAAGAAAGAAATCCCACATCAAACTCCCTTGTCAAAAAAGGAAGTCAGTAGTGAGATCTAAGTGCAAATGGGGCTGCACAATTTAAACACAGGCCTGATAAAGTCAATGTGATATCAAAGTACTTTTTAATACTGAATGTAATTTAATATGTGTTTTTATATATATTACTACGACTTTGAAAACCTTAGCAGTGGATGGTAAACCAAGAGAATAATAAATATGAATGTCATACCAGTTGTTAGTGCATTGCACGTTACATGAGTACCAACATTTGTACTGTGTTCAAATGGCAGCATTTAGACATAGCTAGAAAGTGGACAAGATGCACCTTTGAAGATTTTCTCTTGGTTTTGCAATTGCCAATTATAAATACCTTGTGGAGAGCAATACACTGATCAATAAACATATTGTCAGTATTTTCTTCTTTACCCTGTTCTTCTTTTCCAGAAACTGTATGTTCTACTTAAAGCAGTTACTTCACATGCAGTAGCCATGAAAATACTATATATAAGGCCATTCAGATCTGACAATCAGGAGAAGATGTTGTTTTAACTCTGCAAGGTAATATTGCTGAGCACTTCCAAAATTTACCTAGTGTACAAAACCCTAGACTTAGTAGACAAAGAGTAACAACGCACTTTTAAAGAAACCAAACTCAGGGAGGGATTCTGTCTCTTTTTGTGTTAAAAAGCATTTACTGAATTTAATTGTTTAGTAAAGCAAGCATCACACAATGCTTCAAAATTTTAAAATTCAGGGATAAAAGTTTACATCCAAAAAGATGAATGGAAAAATTGTGCTTTCAGACAGTAAAGTTATTTATCATACAGGGGAAACCAATTCATCTCACCATAGATTCTGGGCAAATTTGTTTATGTACTGTATATATATATATGTGCAGTTCATATCCAGGTCCTGCAAAAATCTAAAACTATGTGCTTCACTTCATGTAGCAAAGGCACCTGTGTTATTCTCCCTTTTGGACAAAAGGTGATATTATGTTCCAGGTTTCCTGATGAAGAATACATTGATTTCTGAATATCTCATTCCCATCTCTACGTTGAGTGGCAACACAAACCACAAGAGAAGGCAGCGCTGTATTCCTGCTTACACTGGAAGAAGTTGCTCTGCAGGCCATTTGAAGCGTCGAACTTGTCACAAGGGAAACCGAGCAGAACTGTGAAGCAGAGGGGTAGTAACAAAAGGCTATTCTGGTGTGAGGATAAATTGGAGTCATTCTAGCTCCACAAGCAGATGTTGCTACTGGATTGACATGTAGAGCCTGCTCCTGCTGGCGAAAGGTAAAGTTTACCATTGGGACAGACGCAGAGCTCATAGATAGTCTGGCGAGGTACTGAAGAGCTGGGTGAGGAGGAGGAGGAGGAGGAGGATGATGAGAAAGAGGAGGAAAAGGAACCCACTGGTAGATTTCCCAGACGGATTGTATCTGCGTTTAAAAATATCTATATGAGGGGGAAAAAAAGAAAGGATTAAGTACATTTCTTTCAGCATTGTTACATCTTTTAAAGACGTGTTTTCAGACAGAGTCATGAGTTTTTAGAAATATAAAAAAAATTAGAAACATTTTATTAGAAGCATTAAAGATAGAAATATTAGATATATATATTCAAAATAATTACTTTTAGAAATAAAAAAGCATCAACTTTTCTTGTTTATCAACTCTTAGTTCTATAACCACTAACACTCATTACTACAGTGCATGCAAATACTTCACCCAAGATGTTTATTCAGATACAAGCAGTGTTATACAAAAGCATTCTGACAATATTCTTGAATAGGTTGAATTTTCACTTGTACATTTATGATTAAAATTTATTCATTCATGGCAGTAACATATTCTTGCTCTGGAAGATTTTGTATTTTAATAAGTGTGAAGTGATATTAAAGCACATTCCCCAGTGTCTTCCTGTAAGCAGCTGGAAATATGTGCTGAAGTGTGCTAAATTGTAGGGGCTTAACAATAGCTACATCCAGAGAATAATTAAATAAGGGTACAGTCATATGCACAAAATAAAGAGCTTATTTGACCTAAATTAAAAGGAGAAAAGATTTCAGGTTAAAGTCTTACTAAGAAGGTCATCAAGCTATTCCCATTTGTTTCTGAACAATGGATATGATTAAAAAATATTGTTGGTTTGCTTTTTTCTTTTAAATCTTGTTCTATTGGAAATAACATAAGTGAGTATAAGGCTGTGAATACCAGTAATGGTCATGAATCTGTATCAAGTTCTGCAATATTTACACTTATGTTACTTTTTCAGGGTGCTGAATAAACAATGTCATGAAATTTGGTAACTAAAGCAGGAAAAAACCACATCTCCCACTGGCACAAAGAGATGAGTTACCAGGTGCTTAGAGTTTTTTATTTATGAAAGAAGTAAATGAAAGCCAAAGTAAGACTGGTCACCACCTCTGGTGCAGACTATGAACTTCAAAAAGACAAGTAACAAATCAAAATGTCTTTAAGCCCTGCAGATAACAGTATGAAGCTTAGGAAGAGGTGAGTTTCTTAAATACTTATTAGTGGTTTTTATAAGGTATTGAAAATCAACAAAGCCAACTCGACACCATTATATCACAATGTTGGCAGTGCATGTAAAGAATCTGGGGAAATATGGCATGTATTGCTTTTTTCTCCAGGAAACAGTATTATTTTATGATAAAATCAGCAGTATAAGGCACAAAAGCAGCACAGAAGCATTTCTAAGTCCCTGCTGGAGAGAACTGAAAGAGAGCAGGATAGGAAAAATTTGAAGAGAGAAGACTGGATAAAATCCTATACAAAGACTGATGCACAGTCACGTTACCATTCACAGGAAAAGCATTGTAAATGATTGGGATCACTGAAGGAAATACAGGCTGAAAGTAGCCCCAAACAATATAATCCCCCATCATTGTGAGTTCTCCAGCTCCCGAAGAGGACACTATCATCACCGAGAATTTACATTAAAAGGGACAGAGAGGGCGAATCTCAGAGGCACAGGTGACAACTGCATGGCATGATGCCTGTTTTAATTCACACTCTGACTGATAGAGGAATTGATTGCAAAAGTAAAATGCAGCAAATTATTATCTTTGTTCTGTAATTTATATGACAAAGAAATGATGTATTTACACACACATACAGCCATTGCTGATTTATAAGTCCAGTATGGCAGACCTGAAAGAATTAGGAGTCAAAACCCCTGAAGAAATAATTTAGATGGAAGAAATGTGGATGGTGTTGGGAACAATTTAATAATGTTCTGCTAGAATTATAACTGAAAAAAAAAAAGATTACACATGTAAAAATATTCAGCTGAGCTAGGAGTAAATGTGAAAGTAACTACAGTAAGCATAGTAAGAAAGTGAAATAACAGATGGGGGGGGATAAAAGAATTTGATACCAAACTGGAAACTAGGAATTGGTAAAATGTAGGAAGGAAACAAAGGACATAATAGTCAGTCAGCGGAGTGATGGGTAAGAAGTAGTACTCTTTCACTTCTCATATAAGGAATAAATTAAATGTTAACAAGTCCATTATTAATGTAGTAATGGTGGAGTCAGTATTGCATAAAAACACAGTAGCATTCACCAGTGTAAGCTCTCTGTAAGTATAAGTGTATCTTTTATACAGAACAGTGCTCAGCGTAGTTCTGTACTTGGAGAAAGATCAAGTATTGATGTCAGAACACGACTGTGATAAAATACTTTCAATTTCAACAGTGACTCAATGAGATATTAAACAGGAGCCAGTAATGTCATATACTTTTAATCAGCAGCTCTTGATAACTTTTAACAGATAGACCTCAAAAAAAATCTGAACAGCCTTTTGGACTTTTAATACTGATTTTCAGTAAGCTCTGATATACTTAGAATATCAAAGAAGAAAAGAAAAAGACTATTTCTATGCTTTTGTTTAAAAAAATGGAAGCAGGATATATTAGAATATTATATATGTGATGATAAAAGGTTCTTCAGTGTAGAAGACATACAGGTAGGAAAATCCAACAATACAAGGTTAGCTATTTATTTTTGACAGAGCATGTGACTGGCCATTTTAACAGTTCAGCTGCACTAGTGATGGGGAAGAATCACGAGAAATCTGTAACTCAAAATTGAACGGCTTCTAAAAGATATGTCTTGATTCAAACAAGAATTAACTCAGAAAAAATCAGAGGGCATACGTGTCAGAGATCACGCTAGATAAAAATCTCTTGACCTTTATTACCTTTTTTCCTAGGAGCTCAATATTTTTATGTGTTTGTTTACATCAGGACAGCTACGCTTCCGCAACCCCCCCTTGAAGATGTTCTGAGTGTGCTGCTCTAAGACTTTAACCCAGTGGACCTTACTCCAGCGTGCGTTACAATGCAGTGTATCATCTCAGTTATTTTGCTCATTAAATTAAACGATCTTTTTCAGCATAGCCACGCATGCTTTTCCACTGGTGCTTACAAATGTCACACTGTGATGTCGATCAGTCCAGGTTTTTCTGGTGTCATACTCAAGCAGTAGCCTCCCAAAACACCTGGTGAGCAACATGGGTACCAAGATACGGTGTCTGAGAAAAACTCAAGTGGCTTCCTGTGAGGGTGTATCTGCTGCCGTGAACCTAACAAGCTCTATGCCTTTGCAGAAAGCTGAGGAGGCTGTGCAATTTAAACAGACTTCTATAGCTAATCCCTGGGGAAGCCTGAGATGAAGAGGCTTAATAAAGATGGCTTAAAGCCAGAATTAAAATCTACTTTGTACATATGCTGTCAAGGTTATAAATAAAAGACTAAATTTACAGATGCAACATTTGCTATTAGTTAAGCACAGGTCCAAACACATCATCATAGTAGCCCAATACATCAGCAATTTCAGAGGAACATAGTCTATGTTTGAGGATATACCCTCTCCCCTCCTATCATCTGCTAAAAACTGAAATTCATGTCAGAAAAGTCCTCCAACATCAGTAAAACTACATACTATTATACGCCTGATGTTATGAGGTGTTTAAAGAGAAGGGAAGAAGTGGCAAGACAAAAAACGGAAGAGTATTATGTTCCCAGGGAACACACTGTTGCTAGATGGCAGTAGTTAATGGAAGTACCTGTTTACATGGTCTTTCTCTAATCTTTTGTGCTGTGAAAGGTACAAGATAAGCAATTTAATACTTCATACGCATCAAGGCCATGCTGGCCAGTCATGCTCTTTCCAAGTCTCACACCTCAGCAGATAATTAGGCAAGGATAAAACCAAAACTTCTATCCATTCTTGAAACATTGGGGGGACTGATAGAGAGATTACAGGATACAAAAGGCAGCAGCTACTCAGAGAAATGCTATTTCACAGAGAGCAGGCACTAAGCAGCATCATTCCCTCTAAATATTTAAGGTTTAGAAATCCTAGAGCACGGCTTTGTCTTGTGCATCTTAGTGCCAAGAAAAATATATTAGCCCTATAATATTTAAAAGTAGACCTGATTTCTGTCTAATTAAAGTAGAAAACTGAATCAACCTGTAGGGCATGTGATAGGAATGGAGAAATTGTACTCTTTTTACATACATTTTTTGCTAACAGAGACATGCAAGTCATCTGCTTATCAGACCGTGCTTTTAATCTGAACAGTGAGAGGGAAAAGGAGAGGTAGGCAAGCCAGGAAATAACGATTATCTACAAACCAAAGAAGTAAATTCAAGGAGAGAACTTTCAGTGGGCAAGATACAGGCATGAGGTAAAAAATCAAATATTCCTACAAGCCATTTCATACAGAGATATGAAATTGCCATGTATAAAAGTTCTCCACTGGGTCCTTGACTAAGTCTTCTCAAAGGAGGAGATGATAGGCTAAGTTGATAAAGCCAAATGAGACAGTTAGGATTTAAAAACACTGAATAATTTTATTTATTCATGTACAGTTTGATTAGACAGGTAATTCTACAGAGCTGCAAAGGCATGTTTCAGGGCTAATGTAGATAAGAAATGGCGAGGAACTAGAGGAAATGTGGAAGAAGAGAAGGAAAACTGAAAGGTTGGAGTTCATCAACTGGTGTAAGGAGACAGCATAATGACATTTCACTATGTAAACTTTTTGGATTCCCTTGGGCTTTTCAGAATTAATCTGAATTCTAACAGTGCAAGATTTTGTCTACTCTTTTTATTCTTCTGCATATGCTAACAGAAGCATACATACAAAGAAGATTATATAGATTGGGTCACTAGACTCCACTGTAGAATTTCCATAAGCCTGTATGTTTTAACATTCAAGGTGAAGATGAACTATAGGATAAATTGCAGTACTTTAGTTCACACGGGCCATTTGTTCTAATACTTATCTGTGCTTTTGACATTTATTTTAAAACCATTCACCTAAACTAGCTTTCATTAAATTCGAAAGATCATTCTCTGAAAAAAAAAATCATAAAGGAAAATTAAAATATTAACTTGATAACATACATGCTGTAAAATCTAAAC